ATATCCCATGATTCTAGGAAATTAAGTTTCTTAAACTGATGGACCTAAAATTATGGAGAATCAATTAGAGAGTCAATCTTCTACTTTCCAACATTTAATAGAGTTGTCAAGCTATAACCACTCATCTGCAACTCAAAACTGGTTGTTCCAATAAGGAGAAATCCCTAGAAATCAGAAGAGAACACAAGAAAGTTCAAGCCACAACTTCTAGAGACTTCTGTATGTCCTCCACTTTTAGTCGATCTCTAAACAAAACAAAAAAACTACCCATAAAATACTGAGTGCCACCTTCAACCTGAGGTTTGACCCCTAAACCTCAATTTAACAAGTATCTCTGATTCTTCCTGGTCACTGGGCAAAACAAAAATAACAAAAGTGCTATAGTAGTGCATTGAACTCCTCTAATCTCCAAGAATCAGGCAAAAGAGGCCTGAAATTCCAGCTGGCTGAGATAAGCATACATGAGACCTAAACCTAAACCTAAACATGCTTTGCTACCAACTTGAAAGATTGCTATAGCAGTCCTAGGTTTAGTACAAAATCTGTTCAAGAAAATAAAAAGAAAAAGAAGAACAGAGAAGGAGAAGAAGAAGAAGAGAAGGAGAAGAGAAGAAAGAATGAGAGAAAGAGAGAGCAGAATGATTGGTTCTGCTTCTCCTTTCATTGGCTTTTATATGACTTAATAAAAAGATGATACATTGTCAAAAATACCCTTGTCGACTGTAACAGAGAGAAAAACAAGAACAACATCCTGAAAGAATTAGAAATAAAGATGGGGAGCATATAGCTGCATATAAAAAACATATACAAACAATTAAGTATCCCTCACTACATCTCTACAAGGTTAATGTTTTTTAAGGAAATTTCCTTTGAATTTGGTGGTTGATAACTTAGTCTATGACATGAATGTTCTTCATTTGGGGATTGATCTGATCTAATAAATGGTGTGATGTTCTTAGGGAGTGGTGGTTATTATTTTTTTTCTCCTGGTATTTCTTGTCACCTATACTTTCTTCATTCTTTTTTTCTTTTTAATGAATTTACATTTTATTATCCAAAAAAAATAAAGTGTGCATGTTGCCCCAAGAAATGTGTCAAGGGTCAAGTAGAAGTTCAATTGAGACATGAGAAATCTTTTAGATAAATTATCCATTTGAAACAATCCAAGAGAAAAAGTTTTGAATTTATTTATTAGAAGTTCACAACAATCACGGGTGAATCCAAAAGGAAGACATTGCACCATGTATCAACCTAGAAGGAAGACCAATATTACCTTGGCTCGAGAAAACAACAATACCAGGCAGTATGTATGGGAAATCGCCACAAAATTTTCAGGCATATTCTGAGGAGAGAGAGCCTGTGCCCAGAGTGATGAAAGCAGGAGAGTAATCTGTCGAGTGCTCAACCTAAGGTAAATTGGGTCCTGATGTTTAGTAAACATGAGAGGGGTCATGTTAGATAGTGGTGAAGAAGAATTAAAAGTTTGAATTGGATTAAAAGGAATTAAGAAGCACTAGGATATACCACTTCCTTTTTTGGTTTGATCATGGGTTGCTCCTCTGGTGTTAAAGGGAAAGGGGAATCTTTAACACTATAAGCTCTACTATAAGAAGACCTCAATCTGCTAAATACTGAACTAGAATTAGTTTTTAATTTCCCATCATCGATTTCTTTATGGATATTCTCTTGATGGGAACTTTTCTCCTTCTTTAGCTTCTCAAAAAGAGCAGCTGAAGAAGAAAAGACAGATACAGTTCTCGATAGTGTCCTTCGGAGATCATTGGCCTTTAACGTGTGTGGAACAGCTGAGCATTGTTGGGGGCAAACAGAAGATGGAACAAGAACAACAGAAAAGATGCGATGAGCTGCTACACGTGTTTCTTGGTCTGGATGGACCATGGCTAAGAGAAGTTGATGGAATAATGCTTCAGGAAATGCCTACAGAATAAAAGGTGATTCAAATGTAAGTCCATCAATATAACTATAAAAATGTAATAAAACATTAAAATATTAGAGAAAAATAAGTTTCATGCCTTGTTTTTATATGATAAATTCGGTATAGATGCTGCTATTTGAGCAGCGCGATAAGCGGCGGATATTGTAGTTCTTGCTATAACAGTAATTGTTGATATATTTTCCAACATCACAGCTATCATGTCAATAACAGGTCCTGCATCTCCGACCTGTTTAACAATGGTAGATCAATTTACAACATTACAAATTGAGAAACATTCTGAAGTGCAAAAAAAGCATTTGTGTCATAAACAGTAATAGCTTGAGGTCTCTAAGACCCATGAAGTACTAAGGGTCAAGTTTGAATAAGTATCAATGAGACATTAAAAGGTTTACCTTATTTATTACTTGCACAAGACACTGGTCAACTACCTCTCGAAACTTTTGGTTCCATTTAATTATGTCAACTCCAAGGTCTGAGTCATTAAGTGAACAATGTATACTTTTCCGCAAATGCTTCATCAGGTCAGATGCTGCAGCAATTATTGCTACAGAAGCTTGAACCTTTGTGTGTTTAGAAAGAGAGGTGGCAACCTCAAGAATGTTTAACTGTATATCTGGCTGTTTAAGGACATTCTTGTGATCAAGATGCTTAATTAATATGGACAACAACAAGTGCGTGTTCTGCCCTGTAAATTGAACAGAATGATAAAAGAAGAATAAAGAACTAGGTCAACATAGTGGAAAAACAACAGAAAATTTATAAAATGAGTGTAAAGATATGACAGGAAGTGGTAATTTATAAGTGATAATAACAAAACATAATGAATACCAGAGTCTTCCATTAATGATTGCATGTTTGACAAAACAGAAAGAGCAACCCCATGTGTAGGAGACCAGAGATTTCCACTATCAAAATAACGAAATAGTGATTCCAAAACACGTCTAACAGTTGTTGCCTCTTTTGCTAACTTGGTCACATTATGCAAGCAAACTCTAGACCAGAACTGAGGGTTTTTGGCATTTTCCCTATTGAAGGGCAACGAATACATATGACCACACATGATTAGTATCATAAAAATATGTAAAATGCATTTATGTGATCTTGAGACATGAGGACTTACACAGTCACAATTAATTCGCCTTTGTCATTTACAATCTTACTCCAAGAAGGAACTCCTATCATGTCATCTGGAGAGGGAGATACATGGCCCTCAACTTCAAGATCTTCAATGTTTTTCTTAGGATCCCCATAATTATCCAATATTACTGATACAACCTATTGAAAGGACAAAAGACAAGTGTTTATGGATAATAGCAAGCAAAAGTTCTTTATATGAAGGAAGGGAAAATAAAAGAAAAGGAAGGTCATATATATATAAATTGGTCTGTCCATGTAAGCAGGCCTCTCCTTTCTCCTTTCAGTAAAGGTATTTATCTATTTTCTCCTTTTTAGTATTTTTCTATCTCTTTTTTTTTCTTTTTTTTTTTTTTTTTTTTTTTTTTTACTTTTCATTTACTCTTTGAATCGTTTGATTTTCCCATGTCTGATGAGTCATGCAAATTAATGTTTTGTCTTCCAAAACAACACATGAAAGAGGGCGACTAGTTTCTTTAACGAGGTGTCTTCCGACAACATTAAAGAGGGAAGGCCACCATTGAAAACCTCCCATCTATATTAGACTTTCAAAAAATCTCCTACAATGTGCCTTTTCATTTAACTAAGAGTCTCAACATCTCAACATCCCATTGTGGTATGCAAGTTTTGTTTTCTAATGCCTATATCCCAGCTTTTGAGCACAGTTCAGAAATGTCTCTTGGAGGGGAATTTATCTTATAAAGCTATTTATCATGGCTAAAGGCTGATAGCAAAGAACAAATGGCATGAACGAAATGATAAAATAAAACTTCAAATTTTTATACAAGGTTTTGTGGAGTTGGGACTGGGTTTGTTGGAATATTTGCCATAATTTTTTCCGATTCCTTGATAGAAGACATCAATTGGTTTGGGATTCTTCCATGTTAGAGGAATCTACAAGCTGACGAAGAGGAGATCGGAAAGGCAATTATCACTCCTAAGTGAAACTACTCTACATTTGGAGCCGACTTGCCTATTTTGTAAGAATTTTATTTGTCTTTCATTTCAACATTTTTTTATTCTCTCCAGTTTAATTCTTTTTCATTGTTTGTTATTTTGTCATTTTGGTTATGTATTGGAGTCTCCATCATTTAAGTTGAAGGTGCTCATGAGATTCCTATGGATGATTTTGGGCCATTTAATTAATGTAGTATCCCTCATGTATATTCCTCCTTCGTATTTTCTCTTTTATTCTATTTTGTCTTGCTTTATTCCTAAGAAAAACGAAAGAATTAGATAGACTATGAAATAACAATCTTGGATTTGCAGGAATGGGCAGAGAGACAAAACACTGGGGGTCTCCTGAAATCAAAGAAGTAATGAAGTAATGGAGGGTAGGATAGTGGGAAGGGGACAAGGTGGAAGAATCTCAAGGAATGGCTGGGATTGAATGAGATGAAATACTATTGGACCACCTAGGGCTTTAGCCCTTCGGACCCTTCCAATATGGGTGAGAACCAACTTCAGGCGATAGAGTCCAGGATGTGGATCCAACTTTTGTAGGTTAGATTCTGGTAGAGTCCAGGATGAACTTGACGATAGCATAGTGGAGTGTCATAGGGCGGAATAAGATTCTGAGGTAAGGTCATCATTGATGAGATTGCTTATGGGAGCGGACGACATGGCTGGAGAGAGACATAAAGAAGTAGGAGCTGCGATGGATGGGATGTGCTGCGTGTGCATGGGGAAAAGGAAAGGTTTGGCATTCATCCCCTGTGGGAAAACGTTTTCAGGGTGTGTAAAAGTGTGTTGTAGAGAACTTTGGACCTAAAGAAATTATAAATATATTTTAATTAATATTTAAGGCTCAGTTTGAAAGGAGTACAAATACAAATATGTATGGTGCAAATGTATATAAAATAATATAAAATATAAGGATTTACACTCTACATATTTGTATTTGTATTCCATCCAAACTGAGCCTAAGTATTCTTTTTTTGTAGGATTTTATCAATGTACATTTTTATCCAATTCTGTAATTAAAGCTCAAGTGTCAATTCTTCATTTATTTTTGTTAAACTTTTTCTTCTGAATATTTTTTATCCAATTATTTCTAGAGTGAAAAAAGTATGGTGGGTAATTTATCTTTTATCCAATTAAAATGCTTTATCGTTTTGTTTTGTTTACAGTTTCTTCTTTTATTTGTATTGATTCAACAACTGACTTTGTGTTGCTGGCGTACTGAAACTGTTTGCATGACAAATTGTAATCGTTGTTGGTCATTTAACTTAGACCTATTTTCATCATCATTGATGTCTTAATGCCTCTTTAACAATTATCTTAAAAGGATTGGGTGAATGACGGTTCAGCCCAGCGTCAAAATTCATAGTCCCAATGTTGGAGTAGGTGCCAGCTCAGAATTGATGCCAATTCATGGGCAGGCATTGATGCATAGGGTGGGGGTAATTGACATTTTGAATTGTTGTAGGTGTACAGTGAAAATCGGAATTCTGCAGTGGGCCTATCGTACTTTGCCGAAAAGGATTTACTATTATAATTAATATATTATATAGTAAAATACGGTTTCATTAATAACTTTTTTTGTTCCATTTAAAATTAATAAAAATGGATAACCACTGGAGCAAAAATGGACATTGGGATGTATATCCGACCACAACAATCTGATCTAGATTTTGGAGCTGAAGTATCGAGTCAGGTTAGAATTCTTGAAAACAACCAAATCTAAAACCACTATTCAAGAAGTTGAAGAACTATTAAGGCTCAATTTGGAAAGAGTAAAAATGCAAATGTATACAGTGCAAATACATATAAAATAATACAAAATATAAGGTTTTGCACTCCACATATATGCATTTGTACTCCTTCCAAACTGACCCTAAAGTTTATCATGTTATTGACATTTTGTTTGGTTAGCATTCTCTTAATGACCTTTCTATCATAAAACATGAGCATTGATCCAACCCATTATTAATAATTGGGTGGACAGCTTTACCAATATGAAAATAAAAATATCCTTTACTTTTTGAAAAGCATATCAAATTCTTTAACCTGATAACCATGTACTAATTTATCAGTTTAAATTCTAGCAAAAGAATTATATGTTTAAATTGATAATAGTAGTAGTAGTAATAGTAGTAGTAAAATTATGAAATCCATTGGAACTCCATTTAAAAATTGTAAAAAATTGTATAAGTTACATGAGTGGTGTTTTGCCATTCCATTCTATTTAAAGCCTTATTGCTATTAAATTATTAGTGCTTAAACCATTTCTTACTACAACCCATGTTCTTTTTGGTCTACCCCTTACTCTTCTATCCCCTTCAATTATTATTAGTTATTCATAGTTGAATAAATAACAATAATCATTAATTAACATAACAAAATCTACTTAAGCTAATATCAGTACTAAGAACTCCTTTGGGAAGGCTATTACATTGGTTTATTAAGTTGCATTGATCGAGTTACTTAGGAGGAACTCCCTAAGAAAATTTTAATTTGTAAAAGAAATCATAGTTTTATAACTAATATGGGCAAATCTATCTATCCTAGGTCTAGACAAATATTATTATGCTTAGGGTATGGGTTGAGTTGGGATAGAAACCTTAAAAACTGTTAATACATTATCAAAATTTTGCTCAAGATATTTTACTTTTTTAGTTCATTGGTCTATATAGCGGGGGTAGCCCATCCCATATAGCTACTTTGGCAATAATAATAATAACTTTTATCTAAAAGTAGTTAAAACCAAAAAGTAATGCATGGGTTATACTCAGTTTGGTTCAATCCAATTACACATGTCACATTGTTCTTAGGGTGCAACTTGGGCAACTTGGGTCAGGTTGAGGGTCAACCCAAGCCCAACCTCAAGTCTTAAGCCTCGATGTTGTGCTTAGATTAATTTAATTATGACTACAACCTAATTTTATATATTTACTAATATATAAGTATTTTAAATATTTAAGTAATATTTATAACAAAATTATAACATTTAATCATTATTAAAATAAAATAAATAAAATAGAACACTAACAAATAATATGAAAAATAATTATTTTATTAAATAATTAGCAGTTTATTAAAATAATTAATATAATTAATCTAAATTACTAAATTATTAAATTATTTTTATAATAAAGTAGTAAAATAAAGATTAATTATTTTAAATAACATTGCATTTTTTATAATAATGAGTAGTTTCTGTTATTTTATTTTCCCTTGACAAATCCCGTGCATTGCACGGGTCCCCGCAACTAAGAAAGAAATAAAATTGTTGATGTAAATCACACACAATGTTTTAAAACATGGAGGCGTGATGCAAGGCGTTCCACTACCTAGAGGCATGAGGCGTAGTTCAGAACGTAAGAGGCATAAGTCTCCCAAACACAAGGAGGCGTAAGCCTCCTTAAGAGGAAGGGGATCAAGAGGAAGAAGGAAGAGGAAGGGGAGGAGGAAGAAGAGGAAGGGAGGATCATATTTTTTACTTATTTTTAATAAAAATCTTTTATATTAAGAAGAATAAAGATGCACAAAACTAGTTGAATAGGGGGGTTTGGGGGGCAAAGCCCCCCAGCTAAAGGGGCCAGGGGCAAACCACTTTCTTTCCCCTTATCTTTCCTTCCCTTCCCTTTCCTTTTTTTTTTCTTCTCTTTCTTTCTTTTTCTTTCCCTTTCCTTTATTTTCTTTTCCTTTCTTTTCCTTTCCTTTTTTTATTTTTTTTTAGTCTTTTTATATGAGGTGTGCATGATGTGCATGAGGCATACGCTTCTAGCACACCTCATGAAAAAGCGCATGAGGCATTTGCCTCTTGTACCTGAGGCATATGCCTCTTGCACCTGAGGTGTACGCCTCAGAGGTGTTAATGCCTCTGGCATACGTCTCAGGGTGTTTTGGGAGTGCCGCGCCTCCAGGCGTCTACCTCCCACACCTTTTAAAACATTGGTCACATATAAAAGTGAATAGTTTTAACATTATTCCCACAATCAGATACAATTGCACTTTGTTTTGAAAGGTTCTTGATATGTGATCTTAATTAAAACAAAAACAAGGATACATTCTTTAATGTAGAACAAAATCATAGAAGGTGAAGCTGATTTAACTAAAATTGATTGTATCCTAAATAAAGATTAATTTGATGACACTGCCAATTTAAAATGTCCAAAAATTTCCTAATATTTTTTTTGAAGATAAATAACATTAAATTAAAACAGAAAACAAAATACAAGAAAAGGTGATAAGCAATAACCCAGATATTAGGAAATTTACATGATTACTACTTTGAGCCAGCTTGATATTCATTTCAAACATGAAGTTAAATCTTAGTTTTTGTTTGTGTAATGGATTGTTTGGTTAATCTCTTAGAACTGTTTGCATTTTCTGAGTTTAAATTTTTCTCTTATGCATTCTATCATGTAGTTTTTAATCTTAAGGTTTACAGTAGGGTGCAATTTGGGTGGGCTTGGGTTGGGCTTTTGTCAAAATTTGAATGTGCACACTCAAAAGGCCTAAGCCCATGGCAGTCTAAAATGCTAACTTAGGCCAACCTGAGTAGAACCCCTAGTTTACAAGATCACGTTATTTTTTCTATAACCTTAGTTTCTTAGCTTTGGTTAATGATTTGGAACAACATAATAATTTAAAAAGGTGTACCCATGGTTGTCAAGGTGACGCCTAGGCGCCGGCGCCCTTTGAGGCGCCGGCGCCTAATCGCCAAGCAATTTTGTACTTTGTATTATAAAATACTTTTTTCTTCTTTATTTTTTGACATTATAATATAATTATAGAATAGACATTATTAAACTAAAATATCCATTTTGTGTGTTTATATACTAATTTCTTTTTATTATTTTCTTATTTGTTAGGGTTTAATCAACACAAACATTGATAAATGCTGTATTCAACCCTCAAAGACTTCAAAACCTGAAACAATAAGTAAGAAAAACTTAAAATTTTGTCTAATTAACACATTTTCTTCTTTTCCTATAACAAAAATAAGGGTTCAGCCCCTATATTTTTTAAATTTTCTTTTCTTTCTTCTTTTTCTTCTCATGAATATGTTGATTTTCTATAAACATGAACTCTGTACTTTTTTATGAAAATTATGAATAATTATTAAGGAAATATGGTTATGGTGCCTAGGGAACTACGCTAGGATCTATATTTTCTACATAAAAAAATTCATCGCCTAGGCACTCCCCTRTCGTCTAGCCTCGCCTTGGCACCTTGAAAACTATGGGTGTGTCTATGCTTCTTTTATCATTTTATAAAATATCATTCCATATTTTTTCATATTTTACAATTCTTCCATCATGTCTATAATTTTTATAATATTTCCATACGATATTTTCAACCTTTTTGACATGTTTCCTATTTTCAGACGACCAACATTTCCACTGACACCAACATTTTAAACCTTAATATTCCCTAGGCCCTATTGAAAGTTCAAAACTTCCAAAATGTTTAATCATATAGATTTCCAAAGTCAATTAAGGGTGGCAAACTCCAATATATTATACATTCAACATTCAACTTGTTCAATGTGGAGGTGAAAGAAAATTGGGTAAATGTGGTGGACAATATTAAAAGGTTAGTAACATAGTTGTCAAGGCGACAAGGTGCCCTTTGAGGCTCGCCTCGCCTAATCACCAAGTAGTTTTCTACTTCCTACTATAAAATACTTTTTTATTCATTCTTTTTTGAGATTATAATTATAAAATAGACATTATTAAACTAAAATATCAATTTGTGTGTTTATATACTAATTTCTTTTTATTATTTTCTTATTTATTTGGGTTTAATCAACACAAACATTGCTAAATGCTGTATTGAACCCTCAAAGACTTAAAAACCTGAACTAATAAGTAAGCAAGAACTTAAAATTTTATCTAATCAAATCAGCACATTTTCCTCTTCCATATATTCTTCTTCTTCTTCTTCTTCTTCTTCTTCTTCTACTACTACTACTACCAATACTTTTTATTTTCTTCTTTTCCTATAAGAAAAAAATAAGGGTCCAGCCCCTATATGTTTTTAATTTTATTTTGCTTCTCTCTTTTCTTCTCATGAGTATGTTGATTTTCTATACTTTAATATGAAATATATACTTTTTTTTATGAAAATAATGAATAATTATTAAAGAAATATGGTTATGGTACCTAGGGAACTACCCTAGGATCTATATTTCATCGCTTAGGCAATGCCTAGGCGACTAGGTGACAAGGCACCTTGAAAACTAATGGTATATGCTACAGTTTGGCACCTTGAAAACTAATGGTTAGTAAGGAAAATTTTTCTTGGAAAAAATGCCAGTTTAAATGGAGAACTTTCTTCTTGGTCACTTTTAATATCAGTACATAATTCATTTTCCTTTTCCAAAGTAGTTAGCTGTATAAAAAAATGAAGTGGATATTTGATTTGAACACACTAATATGCTACAATGATCAAAATATTATTCTAGACAAAAGTATCTCATGGTGACCATCAATGGAAAATATTGTAGAAAGAATGGGGAAAGAGAGAATGAGAGAATAGGTTACAACATTCAGGAAATGCTTATACTGGCAGTTGGATGTTTTTTCTTGACACAGTCCAGAATTTGTTACCAGTCAAATAACAAAATATCAAATCTGGAGTTACATTTGTTGGTATATGCTACAGTTCTCTCTTTTTCTATATATTTTGGATTCATTTGAACATACTTTTTTTATTTTTCTATTCATAAAATGTTACCCATTTGATCTCAATACATTTAAGTTTTAAATCATGTGGGGAGGGGGTTAGCTTCAAAACCTAACAAGACAAAATCTGAAGAGATCAACTAGCAAACAAGAAATGAAAAGATAAACCATATGAAAAAGTGAACAGAAAGTAAAACAAATAAATTGATAAAAAATTTCTGAATTGATCTTACGTTATCAAATTCAGCAGATATATGGGAGTATTCACCCATGAACCAAACCTGGGCATCAAATGAAGAAGAAAGAAATATGAGTAGATGTACCAAATGACAAGACAGCCTCAATACATACAGTATATAGTGATGTAATAATGACATGTAAATGGAATAAAAGAAGATGCAAAATAATATCAAACCAATCCATAATGTTGGAGCATTCAAATTTTATTATGCCTGCCTGAAGCATATCTCTCATTGAGAATTTTATTAGGGACTTGTGTAATATCTACCTCGTTGGGTCTACTTCTTAATTTGGATATTTATAGAGTTAATATAAAACATCTCTCTCATTTAAGAGAGTAGAGATAGTTTTGTAGTTTGAAGCCCTAGTTCTCTCTTTTCTCTTCAAGTGATCATTCTTCTTCAAAAACAACCTAGTTCTAGGAAACCTTAGATATCTGAGAACTCTTTCTACAACTTCTAAGTGGGCAACTTTAGTAAAATGCATATACTGGTTGAGTACACTCACAACATAAGAAATATCTGGTCTTGTCATAGATAAGTACAAAAGTCTTCCAACAAGTCTCTGGTTTGCTTAACATCTTTCATAGAATCACTGCCATTCTCACTCAGTGTACGATTTAGGTAAATTGGAGTGTCAACAAGCTTTGACCCTAACTTCCCCATTTCTCCCAATAGATCCAGGATGTATTTCCTTTGAGAAATGAAGATTCCTTCTTGTGAACAAGCAACTTCAGTTCCAAGGAAATAACATAAGGGGCCCATATCCTTTACTTCAAACTGAGTCACCAAGAACTCTTTTAGTCTTTGAATCTCTGGGATCTAATCACCTGTAATCATTGTGTCATCATTCATCAACATATACTATCAATACTGCAATCCTTCCTTGCTCCCTTCTCACAAAGAGTGTGTGATCTCACTGACACTGTTTAAAACATATTTTCTGAACAACTAAATGAAATCTACTAAGCCAAGCCCTCGGTGATTGCTTCAAACCATATGATGGAGATTTCTTTAACTTACACTTTCACTTCACTACCTTGAGCACAAAAACTAGGAGTTTGAAGCATATATTCTTCTTCTAAACCATAATTCAAGAAAGCATTGTTGATATCCAACTAATGAAGTTCCCAATCCAGGTTAGCTACTAAAGAAAGGACTTTAATATAATTAATTTTGGCCACAGGAGTAAATGTCTCTTCACAGTCAACTTCATATACCTATGTGAACCCTTTTGCTACCAACTGAGCTTTGTATCTCTCCACTATACCATCTGACCTGTGTTTTACTGTGAACACCCATTTACATCCTACTGGTCCATTCTTTTGTAATGCATCAATCTCTTCTTTCATTGAATCTGTCCATTCAGGAAATAGAGCCTTTGTGACACTTTTAGGGATGAACACATTGTCAATGAATGAAAGAAAGGCACAAAAAGCAGGTGAGATATTTTTATATGAAATGTAATATGAAATAGGATGATTGGTGGTACACAACCTCACACCCTTCCTCTTGGCAATAGAGAAGTCTATATCATTAGTAGTAGAAATGTCAATGTTAATAGGACCAAGGGTGTCAATAGGAATAATGGTACCTGGTTGTAGCAGCTCTACCCCTAGAAAGTCCGATGATATTGGTTGCACGACATTAGGCTATTCCATGGCTCTTGAGCTTTGCTGATCCTTACGATGATAGAAGAAGACACTAAAGCAAAGAAGATCAAAAGAGGAGGAAGTAGAACTTGAGTTAGTTTCTCCTCAACCAAACTTTCCTCCTAAAGAGAAACGGAAAAGAAAGGGTTCAGATTCAAAAATGATACATCCATAAAGATATAATACTTATGGGAAACAAAACCAAAGCATTTAAAGCCTTTTTGGGTGTAAGGATCACCAAGAAAGATACACGGAATAGCCTTGGGGTCTATCTTACTGTTAGACAGTGTATGCCCTTATCTCCAATCAAATTGATGTATTGATGCATTTATTGTAAATGAATAAATGTACATAATTGTTTCATGTTATGATTGGTGTGTTTCTGTGTAATTACCCTTAAACTGGACACTTATGAGACTCATGTTAGTTTAGAATGTTTTCAGCTGTTGAATAGACTTGGGAGAGTTTATCCTGCCAAGGCTAACACTAATGTGCTGCTAAGAAGGTTGGGGCAGCCTACCTTAGTTGCCAAGGTTGAACCCGAAGCACATGTAATGTGTGTTTGTTTGAAACACTAAACCATACCAATTTCCCCTTGGAGACTAGTGGAAAAAATTGGAAAGTTACACCTGACCCCTAGACTCGATTATGGTACTGCATAGGGTGTTGGATTGGGCTATCTTTGATATGCCAATCAGTGAGATCCTTTGGAGGTCAAAACTTGGGTATGTTGGTGTAGTCTGAGAATTCACTCGAGTGGATGATCATAGTGACAGGATTAACCCCTTTGTTGGACAAAATGGTTGATCAGGAATGCACTCTCTCTAATGGAAACTAAAACTGTCGGCAGTCGATTTCAAACTTGTTTGAGATTTGTTTTGCAAAATATATTTATATGGTAATATATATATATATATATATTATGTTTTAAGAAAAAAATATTTGCAAAAAGGTTTTAATTCTTGGGACCCATCCGAGCAGAGAGTGTTGCACCTTGCAGCTAGGGGAGATGTCCTTCCTTGTTAAGCAGTGTTTGATCATTAAGGGCTGAGAAGTTAAGTGTAAGAGACCATTTAGGGATGTTTACCTGATGGGATATATCCAACTTAAGCCCATTGTCCTTGCTTCATAGGATGGCTGGACTCAAGGATCATTTAATGTAAATGTTGGGCCCATTAAGAGCCCATACTGATGGGAGGGGTTCACTGTACTTGATAGTGAATTCGGCCAGACCTTTTTTATAGGGGCTGGGCTGAACCCATATGGGCTTATGTAGGGTCATTGTTGGGGGCCTACGCCATACAAAGTGAACTAAATGGGCCAGTAACTACTTAGGGACGTGAATCACTTGCTTAATGGGCCTAAAGCCCTTGATTAATTAGATTAATCAAGAGGTCACATGACAGCTTAAACAGTCATGTGACTTGAGTGAATATGGGTTTGGATAAGGGTATGGAGGACCCATTAGGATAAAAAGATAAGTCTTATCCACTTAGAGAGTCTAAATCCAAATATAGATTTGGATAACCTCCTAACCAGATTAGGAGTGGTGCTCCTTAAGGTTTATAAATAGAGAGGGGGCAAACTGCTCCAATTATCCATCTGCTCCAATTAGGAGTGGTGCTCCTTTCTTGGACTGATATTGATCAGATCCTTCTCTGAATTTTGCAAGAAAATATCAGAGAAAAACTATGCTCACCTCCCTAGTTCGATCCAAGGTGTTGGATTGCAGTTTTGTTGAAAACTACGTTGTTGAACCGGCTTCTTCTCAAGCTACGCCATCTTCAGTGGAAGTTGGTTTTGCTATTCTCTTTGGACATGAACTACCACTTTGGGAGCTACATTTGTGGAATCCGTATCAGGTATACTTCTCCCTTTCTATTGGTTTCAAATCTGGTCCGATTTTGATGCAAGAACGATCCTAGAAAAGGCAGTTTTTCTAAAACTAGGAATACGATTCCCGAAAGGGTAAAAGAAAATTTTTGAAATTTCTCCCAACCATCTAGCATGGTTTGGCCATCTATATGATGGATTTCTCCTTCCTTAACTTAACATGGGTGGAGGACAAGTCATGAACAAAACATCAACAACCAAAGACACACATAGGGGAATAGTGAAGCCTTAGGAAACAAGAGTTGGTGTGGGGCCTTGTACTCTAACAACCAGGAAGGCATATGGTTGATAACATATGTAGTAGACAAAAAAACATCCATCCGAAAACTCTTGAGAACATGCATGTGTAATAACATGCACCGGGAATCTTAAAGAAAATGATGGTTCTTCCTTTCTACAACACCATTTTGTTGGAGGGGTTCTTGCACATGAACTTTGACGAAGAGTACCACAAGAAGTAAAACATCTGTCAAGTAACTATGGAAATACCCTTGCATTGTCTGACTGAAAGGATTGTTTTTCAGTTTGAAACTAGGTGAAAATCATACATTGAAAATCTTGCACAATCTTTGGTACTTTGCCTCTTGAATGCATTGGATAAACCCATGTGTAGCAGGAATAGTCATCAATAAATGTGATGAAATATTTATATCCAATCTTGGATGGAATAGTAGTAGGACCCAACACATTAGAATACACAATGTGAAAAGGAAAATCCAATCTTTTACGTCTCATTGGAAAAGAGCTTCTACAATGCTTACTTAACTGACATGTTTGACACTATAACTCAGACATTGACACAGACTTAAACAATTCAGGAAGCATAATTTTCAAAGACTCAAAAGAGAAATGACGAAGACAATTGTGCCACAAGTAGGCACGACTCATAAGGGGCTGACTTATAGACTCTACAGCCACAAGACTAGCTTTATTCTCTAGTATGTAGAGACCATCTGCCAAGTTTCCTCTACCAATCGTCCTCCTGGAGGCTAGATCCTGAAACACACAAGAATGAGGTACAAAGGTCACTAAACATTCAAGGTACGGGTGATGCTACTAATAGATAACAAGTTAATAGGTAAGTTAGGAACATAAAGTACATTTGAAATAGCAAAGTCGAACGCTAGAGAAATAGTACCTCGACCAGCTATGGAAGAGAAAGAACCATCAACAAGTCTCACCTTTTCTCTGCTAGAAAGAAGGGTATAGGACTGAAACAAAGAGGACTTACTAATCATGTGGTTGGAAGCTCCAAAATCGATAATCCATGGTGATTCCGAAGTTTGAGAGGAAACATGGAAAGTAGAGGCAGTGTAATGTAGACGCAAAGGAAGTCGAAGGGTGGACCCAAAATCCATTTGTTGAAGGGCCCTACCATATAGCTCCAAATGGTTAAGGAAAGCATTAATGAAATCTTCTGTAGAATCCAAACCAAATGAATACTCTTTAGATGTGTTCATAGAAGAACTAGTTTTTTGCTCCTAAGAAGCCACATTA